CGATTCACAGACTGCTCGGAAATTGGGTAAGTGGGGTTTTTTTGGTTGGGTGTTTTTTTTGTTGTTGTTGTTGGGTTTAGGTTTTTTTTACACAAACTTGAGTAACCACTTTTAAATGTATGGTTGGAAAATCTGGCTTGCGCAGCAGACCTCACAGTCATTCTCCCAGTGAAATTCAATCTTCTTGGTTTATGTCATTTTACCTAAGACACTGAAGGAGTGAAGGAAAAATGGTTTTGGAGTAGATAAATCTCTTTCCATCCATGTCTACGGTTTCTTTACAGAAAATCTTGGGGTTTTCTTTTCTTTTTTTCTTTCAACTGTAATTCAGATTGTCTGGTTTCCACTCTCTATTTCCCACTGCATACAAGGCAAAAGCTCCTTCGCAAGGAGCTGGCCGCTGGATGTGTGATTTCCTACGGCCGTGACTGGGTGTCTTTGCTTGCTGTATTTGATAAGTGATCCAGACAGCCAGGAACGATTTACTGCAAGTCTCCATTTGCCCTTGTGCTAGGATTACAATCTGGGAGGTTTTTCAGCAAGCATTCTCAGCCCCCATTTTTAATCGGTCTTTCACCCGGATGGCCAAGAAAAAGTTGTAAAATCAGAAGGAACGCTGGCATCTGTTCTGTGACTCGGAACAGAGCAGAGGTTGTCTCCCTTCCATTTTCTGCAAACTCCAATTTTTTTTGTTGACCACACACAAATGGTTCTAATCAGCTTCCAAAAGGCTCTTGCAAGCATTTTAAGATGTTTGCTCTTTGCATTCTTCTCTACATCCCCCTTTCTTTTCTCATCTGAAGGGGAAGAGGATGTTGAAAAAATGGATGATTTTTTTCTTCCTTTTTTTTTTTTGTTTTTTTCTGAGCAATTTTGGTTTTCCATTAGCTGAAGACTTCTATTGAAGGGTGTTGTGCAATGAAAGCGTAAAGGATATGGAAACCTCTTTATTATGCTTGGAATGTCAGTTCGGACATTTGTTTTAGTTGGACCATGCAAAACACGGTCATGGCAAGAACAAGCCAGCAGTTTGCTTCTTTAATGACCCTTCCTCCACTAATGGGGCTCAGGCTGTCAAGCATTGATGCATGTTCCTCGATCGCAGGTGAAATCAGGTGCTTGTCCATCTGGGGCCAGCTGGGAGCTGACAATGCCCTTGTCAGTCAGCTACCCAAGAAGCATGATTGTTGATGCCTCTTCAAGTGAAGCATCCTTCAATCATGCCACCAGAGGAAGCAGTTTAAGACCTTTTTCTCCTCTAATGGTATTGAGCTGTTGGACATGGAGAGAAAAGTTGAAAGGTCCTCCGGAAGGAGAAAAAGAAAGACGGTTGTTGGCATGAGAACTGTTGTGACTCCAAGTATTGAAAGAGCACAAAGCTTGATGAGAAATAGCAAGGAAAAGAAGAGGATATAATGCCCAGCAACTGAGCACATATATATCTCTTCCAAAAGATTTTTTTCTCTGCTATAATGTTGACAGTGAAATATATTCCTTTATATAAACAAAAATAACCCCCAAAAAATGAGCCTTTGGCATAGGCCAGTAAAATCACACATTCCGAACAGGGCCAGGCCAAGATGGAAAATTACTCAGCCTATTTTTCCTAAATTCTACCATATTTCTCCACTCTCCTTTTTCCTTTTTTTTTTTTGTTTCTTTCTCCCTAGCTTGAGCATGTATACAAGATGCTCAGATTTTGCAGGTATGTTTCATGTTGTGCAAAGCCACAGTGAAGTTCAATGGGACTTGTTTTGGCTTGAGGACCATAGATTTTAGGTGACAAACACCTCTGGAGAAAGGATTCATCATCCCTTAGTGGCCTGGGAAGGATTTCCACAGATGGCCCTCATGGATATCGCAGCCTCCATGCCAAAGTTCTTGGTTTCCTGAAGTAATTTTCTGTGGAAAGATCCTTGGTTGCAGCAGGCTTTCGATTAGATCTTACACATGAGCTTCTACAGAAGCTGATAAATTTCAGTCAATTCATACAATTGATCAAAAGGTGTCCTCTGTTAATCAGCTTTAATAAACCTATCTGACAGATTTCTCCCCTTCACACAGTTTTTTTCCATCTTAGATGTGACTTGGGATGAATCAAAGATGAGTTGTCAGGATGGTGTCGGGACAGACTGGTGCCCATCTACCACCAGGAAGCTGAACCAGCCCTGGGAGCGATCAGGCATCTCTATCTCCATTACATTTCTCCTCCTGTAGGCGCCCATGTGGTTTTAGCTTGGGTGAACTCAGGTCCGTGAGGCAACAGGCAGGAGACAAATGGAAATGGTGACATATCTGGGAACACCATGAAACCTGATCAGATGAGCTGAGGTGTCCGAAACAACTGGTGTACACAGACTAACAGAAAACTGAAACTTTGCCCAAAAAAAGGTCTTTAATATCTACATTCTATTGGCAGAGTTAAACAATTTTTCCCCCCCTCTCATCCTCTATGCCAGCTATTCAGTAACAGCAGCGTAGGCAGCATGACAATGTAATGCTCTGGTTTCATTATTTTGAACTGATTTTGCTTTGCTATTTTTAACTACTGTAAATGCTACTGCTACAGGGAATAGGTAGAATTATTTTGCCATTTTAGCAGACTGGAAAGAAATTGAATGAACTTTTGCATACAGTGAGATGTTACTCTTGCCAACACTTAAATGAAATAGGTTTGCCTGTGTTATTATAAAACCATAATAATGTAATTATGTAGTACTAGCAGAGTGTATTACATATCTGTAGTAGCCTGACATTAATTTGTGCAGTAGCTAAATATTATCTCCATTTCACAGACTAGGAAAGTAAGGAGATGAGTAAATCTCTGGGATCATAAAGAACATTAGTGCTACAGTGCAGCTTGGAGGAGGCAAAGAGTAGTCCCTCTGGGACTAAAACACAAGCCCCAGGGAAGCTCTACTTCCTTATGCAGTTTTTAAGGTAAAACACTCTCTTGGCTTTTCTTTTTTTTGACCTGACACAGGCATATCAACCCACTTCAGGATCTTCACAGGAATAATACTGGCCATGCATGAGGAGTCCTCTGTCCTCTGCAAATCTGTGCAATTGACAACCTATGTTTGATGCATTTATTCTCACATCTCTGTGTGAAGCGAAATCTAGGCAGTAGGAGACTATATAGTTTATACAAGTACCTGAATTATTGGTCATAGTGATTACTTGGCTACCACGAAACATGTCAGTGTCCTTCTCCCCAACAGACACACCAATTACAGGGGTATTCATGACAAAGCAAGGGGGTTTATTCAGTTTCCAAGAACCTGTATTAAATTCTTTTCATGGTCAGCATGCAAATTCATCCAGCACTGTAGAAAGCATGTGGGTCAGCAAGACCTTATAGAATCATAGAATCATAAAATAGTTAGGCTTAGAAAGGGCCTTAAGATCATCTAGTTCCACACATGATAAGACTCCCGAAAAGCCATCCTTTATTCCTTCCAAATTCACATCCCATCTCCAGGGACACTCTCTTCACTCCCCAAAGACAGCCACCTTTCTTGAAAAGCCTGTCTGCATGAAACCTAATCAGCCTTAGGGACTCTGGATAAATGCTGTCATAGGCATTTCCACAGCCAAATTGCATCTATTTTTTCTTTCCTACACATTAATCAGTGGGAGAGTTTACAAAGTTAACTGAATGGCAGGAGCCTGGTCTGTTACTCCTGGTGGAACGACATAGAAACATAGAAACATAGAATAGTTAGTATTGGAAAGGACCTTAAGAGCATCTAGTTCCAGCCACCCTGCCATGGATAGCAGTTTCTTGCAGCTTCACTAGTGGGTCAAACAGCCTCTGTAGATCTATGATTTGTCATTTCCTCATTCCTGGAGGCCCGCTCTTCTCCAGCGTCCATGTATGAGGCCGTATCTATTAATAGTTCTCAGGCTTTGCATTTCCTGCATCCAAAGCACTAATGAAAACTCCTTCCTGGTACTCCTCCAGGGGAAAGGCAGTTTCCTCCATCTCCCCATCCTTATCTGTACATCTGACCTTCTGGGCATTTCTGTCCCATGGCAGATTTACATGAAACATCTGTCTTTTCTTGTTGGATAGGTATTTTACAGGGAAAAACTGCAGGCTGACTCAGGACAATAAGTGCTTCTCCCTGCCCAGATGACTATTCCCATTCTCTAGAAGGGAAATAGCAATCAGACCTTTTGCCCTGGTTGACTTATCATACTGCTGCTTCTGCCCGAGTCAGGCTTCCTCTAGAGTCTGTTAAGTGAAACCCTTCATCCTGCATAATTATAACTCCATCCTGATGCTGAGGGCTGCTTTGGCAGCTCAAAGAATGTGAGCTGGAGATTTTGGTCTCTGCAGATGTTGATATGGGAGTCACTTGGCAAGGTTATTCTATGATTCTATGATAGAAGTTTGAGATACGTCCTACCTATGTACAGCTCTTCACTTAGCAACAGAGCACTTTTCCATGGTTCTATTCCTTTGCCATAGAAATTGTCTTGATATAGAAGGCAGGTACAGATCAGCTGTGTTCTCCAGGCAATGTACACCAAAGCTACAATGTGGGCCAGAAGTGCGAGATCCAGTGTTTTCTTGGGAGTTGTACTGTTGCACATGGCACATGATTGCAAACAGAGGGTTGTGCCACCAGCACTGCTCAAGTTAAACATTAATACTCTGAATGCAAACAAGATTTTGTCTTCTCTTAGCCCAAAAGAGGCTTCCAAGGCTGGTTCAGGTGGTGCAAGAGTTAACCTTCCCTATCCCCAGCCTCCTCATGAAGATACTGTTATGTCTCTGTGGACCCTTTAGGGGGAATTGCACAACACAGGATGAATCCCCACCACATCTCAGCCGCATGGCCTCCCAGTGATGCTGAACCATCCCATTCATGCTGTTGGTAGTCAAAGGGACCAAGCTGCTAGCTGGGCCAGGCCAATGAGTGTACTAAGGGGGATGCTAACATACCCTGGGGAAGGAGCAATTTGCAAGTAATTTTTCATTTCCACTCATTTAGGAACCAGGGGGAAAGAGTGGGGATGTGTGCTGGGACTATGATGAAGTCTGGCACTTCTGGAGTAAATGGGGTAACAAATTTTTTGGGGGTACATTTCCTTTTACTTTTGCTAACTTTGTATTTTCTGTGCCAAATGTGATACCTAAAATACCAGCAGCGACATTTGGTTTCCATTTCCCCAGAGACGTTTGTCTCCAGACTAATAAATCTGAATCTGAATACACAACCTGGTAAAAAAACTGGTGCCAGCATGACCTGTTTATGTCTCCCATGTCTCAGTTTTTCTGTTTGAGGAACAAACCCTCTGTTATAAGGTTTTGTAGGGTTTTAAAATGACAGCATTTGGGTCAGTTAGGGGTCCCAAACCAATACATCCACTGAAATACATGAAAAAAACCACATACAAGGAACTATTTCTTGTATAAATGAAAGTATTTTTACAAAGGATCTGTCACCAAGATAATTTGGATGGTTTCGCCTCGGCAAAATGTTGACTGTTGAACTCTTTTCTCTTGAAAAGAAATACCTCAACAGCAACTAGTTAAATATTGTGATTTCATATGGCTCCTTTATTTACAATGTGGCATTATCTTTAACAGCATCTATTTATAATGATCTCTATGAGATAATAAACAGTGCTATCCTATTAACAGGGACCTCGGGGTTCAGCCAACAGCAAGAGGAGCCTGCCAAAAGAGCTAGGTGGCCTTCTACACAGCACAGCTGACGGTATTTTTTATGTCCCTATATTGCTGTGTTCCTACTCAAATAAATATGCATTAAAGGTGAGAAAAGAAGTTTATTGGTGTGTGTGCAACCCCATGACCATTTGGGGTACTCCAGAAGGGGAATGATACCACTGAACAGGCAGCTCCATAAGAGTAGACCAGTAAGGAAGCTTAGATGTTTAATGAGAAAAAGACACATATTATTTCCCTAAGAAAGGTCTTCCCCCCTGTAGCCACCTAAAAGGGAGAAACCATAGTCCTTCATCTTCCCCATCCTGAGTCTGGCACTGAGAAGACTGAGGATGAGCTCTAACACATCACACGTCACATCCACCCCAGCTGAAATGGTGTTCCAGCTGTGGATCGGGCCCCTGGGGCACTGTCTGAGACAGATGGAGACATGGGTTGGAAACCTGTTTGCAACAGACAGCAAACCCTGTGTTAAGCTGAGCTGAAGGTTCCTTCCCTAAGCTGCCTGCACAAACAAGTCCCCTTTCATGCAAATGCTTGTCCAGAAAGCTCAGTGCCCCCCATCAGGAAAACATCCATCCTGTTCCAGTGCCCGACAGATGGCATATCCCACCAGAAAGCTTTCCACTCTTTCATCATATTATTTATTGCTTTGTTCCCTTTGCGGTGGAAGAGATGGCTTTACCCAACATCTTCCACTTTCAAAGCCAAACAAGCCACTATAAATGCCTCCTGTCACTGCTGGGGTTTGTTCATGTTATACATTTGACATGAACCATGGCTAAATGTGGCTATAAGCAGTAATTATGTGACTGTATTGCGTAGGAGATGGTGTTTTAATTAAAGTCCTAATTCAGCCATGGACAAGCCCTCTGGATCTTCTGCTCTTTGGAGTCAACAAATCCAAACCTTCAGGAAACCTCCCTACACCACACAGCACCATCCTTAATACCGAGGTCGTCTGGGAAGCAAGACACAAGCATCCCACTGAAATGCAGGTCATGCTGTGATGGTTAGAAATTTCCAGCCTGAATTTATGGGCAATAGTTTATCCTGAAGGAGGTCCAGTGACAGGAAGGGTAGAGATGAGACAAAGCAGCCTGGGGAGGACATTGTAGACACAGGGCACAGGAAGGAATATGTTCCATATTTCTTCTCAGAGATAACATGGATGATTAGCTCCAAATGGCCACTTAGAAGTAAAATCCTAGTCTGCAAAAATCTCTGCATAAGCAGCCTGGGAGTCCTCAGCATGGGATGTATGTCACAGTGTACGATCATCTGAAGATCTGCCTGATGAGATGCTGCTGAAGGACACAGTGTTTCTGATCCCTAATAAAAACTGCATTTCTGAGTACCTTCAGTTCCTGATGAAACCATGGTCCTTTTCTCCAGAGGATGTGTATGAATTAAAATATATTATATAAAAATCCCATTTTCCAAACTGCTTTTCAAGATTAGTTCAGTTCTCCTGTTCTCTGTAGTGGAAATGTATGAAAAAAAGTTAATAACCTCAATTCTCAGTTGCACCGGTGACAGCAAGCTGGGAAGGGTGGCCAGCTCAAGCACATCATCACAGAGGTAGCTGAATGAGTGTGATGAGATGTGTTCCACTTCCAGGGGGTTCAGACTGGGCCTTGGGAACCCGTGAAGCACGAGATGTTAAGATAAGGACTTTTTAAGATGGGCTTAAGGGGGATTTATGACCCTGGAGGCTTCACTAAGCCTTTCCATAGGTTTCCCTGCAGTTCACATAACAACAGAGTCCTAATTCACAGCCCAGCACTAAAAACTTGGACTACCCTCAAAGAAAATGGAGGAGAGAAAAAAGATATCAAAGAGATCAAAACTGTGTTTGTGTTAACATCAGAAATCAGATGGTGGCAAGGTCCTCTGAAGAAAAAAGGCTTCGATCCTTCCCTCTTACCGGTGTCCAACCTGTAAATTTAATGTGTCAACATCTTCAAGAAAATATTCTTTCATGACCTTCCTATTCCCCCTTCAATTGGAAGCTGCTGCTCATCATAAAAACGTTTTCTCTCTGTTATTTCACGATAGATTTGTAGGAGAAGCCATTGCATTAATATTGTGTTAATTGTTTTGCTGTGTAGAATTACCAACAAAAGGTATTTTTACTCAGTGGCTAAAAAGATCTCAATTTCCCCTAGAAACCCTTTCTCCTCTGCGCATGCAGCCCTGAAATCCTTTTGGTACATGAATTGAAATATTAATTCTTCTTGGGGCAAGAGGTAAGTTTATAATGTGGCTGAAAGGATACTTTCCATCTTCTAGCCAGTGGTATCTATTTATTGATCTTATTTCTTCTTAATGAGACTCCAGCTGAAGACTAACACTTGTCTTTAGCAACTGCTGAGGAAAACTTATTAGCAGGGTGATATATAGGATCTTTTTACTTCACAAGTGGGCTCTCCCTAGTTCAAAAGAAAACGAGGTCTCAAGTAGCCTGTTCTTAACAAAAATAATAAAGCTTGACTTCAGAACAATGGTATGTGCCCTTAGGGCTGCTTTCCAGATCACGAGGGGGTTAGGGAGAGGCAAAAGATATGCCCTGAAATACACGGGTGAGCTCCTATCTACAGCCCTTCCTCTGCATGTACAGCCAGGCAGGTTGGCAAAAACACTCAAGATCTGCTCAAAAACACAGCAGCTGGTGGTATTTGGCCACTGTTACCCGAGGGAATAAATCCTTACTAGATGGAATTCTGACCTAAGATGAATACCCTATACTTATATTCCCCTGCATTGCGAATTTTGGAGTCCTAAAATGTGACACACGAATTACCAGATCATTTAGCAGATTGCTGCTGGTCAATGTTTTATTTCTAGGCAAAATGCCCACCAAAGATGTTTGTCCCTTGGTTTCAAGCCTGTAACCTCCACTGGGGCTGGATTATTTACACACTTGGTGGAAAGATGTCAGGCTGCACTTAGAGCACAGGGATACACTTTGCCCTTCTTCACAGGTTACGAGTGTTGGCAGGGAGCAAGTCAGAAATTCATCGTTTCTGGTATACTATAATAACACTGTCTATTAATGATGCACTTATAAATAGTTAATAAAGGTTAAGTTTATTTATCTGTAGGAAATAGCCTTTTTAATAAATGGCAAATCATTTTTATAGAGACCAGAAGCTTGCTTATAACCCTGGTTTATAACCAGCTATAAAAACTCGGATTGATGTGTTGTAGCTGATGTTTGACACATTCTAGTCATGTTTGCAATTTTCTTATAAAAATCTCTTAAATATTTATTTGCCGTTTATAAGTCATTTGCAAAGGGAAGCAATACTATAAAATATGACTGCTGCATACAGATTTCAGATACCCGCATGATTTATTGGCTCTGTGCTCTCATTTCTAAATGAACTAGCACACCTTTTCTTTCTTTATTACTTTTTCACTTTGAAGGACAGAATCCCCAACACAGAAGGATTAATTCAACATTTAAAGTCTGGGTTATCTGTGTCTCTGTGCCAATATTGTTGGTTATGGATGTGCAAATTTTTACCAATACTGCTATAAAAATATTACAGCCTTAATGTGCTGTGACCAGTTTACACGGGAAAAGGAGTGACTTTAATTCCCCCAATTAGCATCAGTTCAGTCTCCAGCTCACATCACACCATTTCAGCATCTCCACTTTCTCTCCCTAACCTCTGCCAACCCTGAGCTGCATTTGCAAGTTCACCATGTCTGAGCTGTTTTACACGTATTTTACACCAGAACATCTTACTCCTGTTTTCATGCTTAACCTCTGCAGATATAACTGCCTGTATGGAATGCTTATTCCATTTTAACCGTGCTGGTGTATTTGCAGCCAGCCTTTTTCCATCTGGCAGCTACTACTTTGCATGCAGCCAGTAGGATGCTTCCATCTGGCCCTCAAGCAATTTTCCACCATCATATAACATTATAAGATATTTACCACCCAGTCCCAGAGCAATCTGTTTTAACAGATGCCCCCAAGGGCTTTCCTTTCACTGCTCTCTCCTCTCCATGGCTGCAGACATGAACCTTACAGGGAGCATTCCCCCCCTCCATGCTGCCAGCACTGGAGAGAGATGGTGCAATGAACCTGGAAGGCTGACTCTGCATCTTACAAGTAGCTGTATGAAAGCATTGGCTCAGTCTTTTTGCCTCCCTTTCTGCCTCTAAATGTAATGCTGTGACATACTTTCATGGCTAGAAAAGCCCTTTTCTCCCTCTAGCTCCTCCCCTCAAAAAATAGGCAAAAATAAGCAAGAGAATGAAAAATAAAGCAGTTAATAATGATTTTCTTGCGTTATTTACCTCTGTGGTAACAGAGGTAACACTAGATATTCTCCTGCTCCCACCCTGTG